TGACATTTATCACGGATTTGGTCACGTTGCTCTCTCTGTTTAAACGTTCGACAGGACACATATCACGTATAAATGACAAGAAATGAAATTATTCGGGTTAATTTAACACGCATCTCCATTTTCTTTTGTACGATGAAGAGAAAGAGAGAGAGAGAGAGAGAGAGAGACACATACTATTTATACTCGACCGTACATCGAGCAAGCAAAAATAATTGTACATAGTTATCTCTGTAAATCATCATGTTGAACAGAATTATTTGCAAATTAATACGTATAAAATTTAAATATTTGAAAATATAAATTGCATGTGTGTTTTCAGAGGAAAATATTTTAAGCGTTACATATTAATAGAGTACGTTTGCATCTATTTAATAAACTATCTTATGTTGTTGTTTGTAATATATTTTTCTTTTCTCTTCATCGAGTATTCTCAAAGCAAATCAAAGAACAAAAGAAACGCAAAGATTTTCTTTATACACAGATATATGTAGATATAATTAGCTATGTAATATTTTTATTAATTTTCAAATAAATAATTTCTGAATTATATTTTTTATAATTGGCTTAAAACGATCTCAGATTTTTTAAAATATTCATTTGTTATTTTCTTTATATTATTCTGATGAAAATATAAAAATAAATAATTCTTTGCTAGGATGCTGAGACCCTTAAGAAAATTCAATCTGAACTTATGAATTATAAATGGAGGATTCAACCTAATTGAATTCTCTAATAACACTGGGACAGTGTCGCCTGTTAATCCCAAAATCCCACACATTAATAATCTATCTTTTTGAAATATATATTTCAACGTGTGAAGATGTACAGATTTTTCTGTACGAAAGTTTAATTTTACGTACAGTTTTCTCAGAATAAAAAATTTCGTCACTTGTACTATTTGCCCACTGGGATCTTCATTTACGATTCTCTTTTCCATTCTTTTTTGTCCCACATTTTTAATAAAATTACGGTACAAAATTTTTCCATTTATAAAATATACGCATTATCAAGGGAGATACAAAAGATATTTGTTATCTGGACTAATCACAATAGCAATTATACAAAATACAATTCAGAAGAAAGTAAAAATCTCGAACATCTCTTCTCGATTGCTTCACAAAATTCACAGAGAGCGCACCCGTTTCTATTCATTCGCGTCCTCTTGTCCACGCTTTTACATTTGCAATAATTTCTCTATATATTGTGCAATCAATGTTCATTCCTTTATTCGTATTTTTTTTTTTTTTTTTTTTACATTTGAAAAAC